AATTTACACCCTCTGCGAGTAATCATCAATGGTAGTGAGGAAATAAGACCTACTGTGAGTTTGGGCTCTTGCTGGACCCCATAGGTTTACATGAGCATACTCAAACGGCTCAATTGGTCTACTGGATATATGTTTACTAGTCCCACACTTCAATCTGAGACTTTCAAAAGTATGCATTGATCACAAAACTCCAACTCTTTCATTCTATCGCCTCCTAGCTATTTGCCCAACTCCGTTAAACCTCTATCACTAATGTGCCCCAATCTTGCCACAGTTTTGTCTTATCTTGCATTGTCTGCCTAGCTACAAACACATGTGTTATCACTATTCTAGTATATAAAGACTATTCTTTTTTCACTTCCTTAGCAACTATAGAGGCGCCTTTTAAAATCTTTATATTACCTTGTTCAATCTTGGTTAACAAACCCATAAGGTCAAACATACTAATCAACAAAAGATTTCTCTTGAGCTCTTGAACACATCCTCACATCTTGCAATATCATTTATTGGTTGTCAATCATCTTCAATTTGATTGATTCCATGCCTTGCACCTTATAGGCTTCATTGTTCGCTAGAAGAACTACACCTCTTTCTTTCAGTTCTAAGGTCTCAAAGAACTCCTTCACTGAACATATGTGATAAGTGCAACCTGAGTTCATAATTCAACTTCTTTGTGTAATTGACACTAATGCCACTAACACTCTGGCATATTCTAGCTATTAGACACTACTACAACATTAAAATGTTCTCTTTTGTAATGACAGTTTCTGCCCTTCTCATTCTTTTCTTTCTTTGGACTGTCTGTCTTGTAGTGACATCTCTTGTGACAATTATAACACTCAGGCCTTTTATCTGCCCTATCATCGGATGAATGCTTTGATTTATTCCCTTTCACCTCCCTTGTTTTCTTTCTCTTTGACTTCAAGACATTCAAACTCTTCAAGACATTATAGTTTGCCTTATACTCTTGAAGTTTTTGTCTCCAGAGTGAAGTCTTATCATTGTCTTTGAGCTTCACTTCAATGTTATCCAGATAGTCAGAATCTTGTTAAAATCTTCTAGCCACTCCACCATCATTCTTGATTTAGTCATCTTGAATGAATACAATTGTTACTTCAGATAGAGTCTACGTACCAAAGAATTTGTCATATACAATGACTAAAGTTTCATACACATTGATGTAGCAACTCTCTCCTTCATGACTTCCTTGGATGTCTTATTCCCAAGACACAAAGTTATGGTGTTTTTGACTTTGTTGATTATGTCAATCTTCTCTTTTTGAGACAATGACAGTAACATGTTCACCTCACCTTTATCTCATCAACAATTTATTGTTGTATCAAAATAACTTCCATCTTAATCCTCCATAATCTGAAATCATTGTAAAAAAAAAAAACTTGTAAATAGCAAAGTTGGTGACCATGTCTTCAAATCTTGCACTTCTTGATTTTGTACCTCTTGTTCCTCACAGACGGTGTGGATTGTTGGGTTCATTCAAGAATAATAAGAAAAAACACAAGAACAAGAAATAAAACAATTGTATTATAACAGAAGGTTTTATACACAAAGTATGTTCTCACTATAACATATATTGCATATATATAATGTTCTCTATATAGGACTAAGAAAACGAAATCACAGAAAACTGCAAAGATAGTCAATACAAAATGCCATCTAATACAGGTGGTGGATAGTCTAATTAATCTTAAAACTACCGGACATTCTTTAGTAGACAAATCTTTTGTATTCTTCACCAGACGATCATGATTTAGAGCTAATACATCACATTATTATATATACGTCACATTTGCAATTGTTTGATAGAGTTTGCCAATATATATCACTATTCTTCACGTAAAATACGTTTGTTAGATCTCAATGCAAAACCAAACATATTGAATAGAAATGGTAAATTAAGTGGCTCAATTGGAAAAAAAGAAAATCAGGTGCTGAACCTCAAGTGACCTTGCTTGATATTGTAATGACAAAACTTAGCAAAGGCTTAATTAATTATTTATTTGAAATTATTTTTGTTAGCCATAATGGATGCACCCAATCAGTATGTAATTCAACCTTTCATGTTTTCAACTTTCTTCAGGGGTACATATTTTAAATTAAAGGGAAATGACTCTGATTACCACAATCATGTCTTGGATTTTGATTATTCTCACTATTTTATTTTTAACATTGTATTTAATTATTTAGCATCGGTTTTACTTGCTAATATTCCCGTTTTATAGATTATTTTAGCTTCTTATAAAGTGTTTTTAGCATTTTTTTGACATTTGGTTCAAAATTATCTACAACCATTTTTTAGTATTTGTTTTTACTTAGCTTATATTGCAAAATGAGGATGACCATGGTGGTGCAGCAGTAAGGCCGCTACTACCTTGTCACTTAGAATTCACGGGTTCAGACCCAGGAACAAGCTCTCTCCATTTGCGTCCTTTCCAAACCCACTTGTTGGTATTAGGGAGTCTCATGCATTGTGTCACATTTTTCACCTTAAATTATAAAACGTCGGAGAGAAAGTCCCCGGACCCTTGTTTGAATAGCTGGTCAATCGCAGTAAAGCCCCTTAATTAAAGGAGAGAAAGACCTAAAACAACTTGAAGTGAAATTATAAAAAAATATTCAGATTTTGCCTCCCTGAAGTTTTGGTTAATGCTTTATGTTGTTATTGCTTAAGTCACATTTTTAATCTTGCTCTTGCTCCGATGTAATTCATACGGGTTTATGATTCAGGAAAAGAAGTCATTGTATGCATCACCAGGTGAGTTCCAAAGCTTGATAAAGCAGGTTCTTTCATGGGATATTCGGTCATTGAGTCAACGCAATCGGCCACATGATGCATTACTTAAGAATGAAAACGATGAACTATTGGGTAATGCTTCTGATGTAGATGACCACGAAAATGAAACATTAGTCCATGAAAGAGAGCAGAATGCTATAGATTCCAGTGAAATCATTTATCACCTGATTTTGGAGGGACTTGATGTCTCTTACAGAATTGATCATGTCGGTAATGTCATAGTAGATAATGTATCACCTGCTGTGCAGGATAATAAGCGTAGTTTCTTTAATTACTTGACATGGAAAGACAAGATGCAATGATTTATTTTATTCTACCCGATTACTTGTTAAGCTATTTTAATTAATATTTTTCTTTTTCAAAAAAATGTTTTTGCCCTTTTGTTACTAGTAATGTAAGCTTTGAAGGTGTTTGGTTTCGTTTATGTTCATTTTTAAATCATGTTTTTGTTACAATTTCGCTAATACCATCTTGTAGTATTTTCAAAATTTTGTGAAGAAATAAGGAACATCCCACAAGTTATTCTTGTTGCTACCATCTTATGTTTTTTTAAGAAGCAATGACTTTTTTAGAAAAGTTTTGTATACAAAACACTACTTTGTTGCCTATTTTGTAACAAGTAAAGAAAGATCTTATTAGAATCTTTAAAGCATAATGTTACAATTCTAATTTTGAAAGTAGCAGTAAAAGAATATTGAGTATGAAAGTTAATTTCAGCATATTTATCTATTTAAATAAATTACTTCTCTTGTCAAATTACAGATTATCTTATTTTACACAATCCCTTAAAAAAAATGTCAAACCAACCAACTCTCTTATTACCGATGAAATCCGCTAACAGGTTAGCTTCGGAGTTTATATTTTGAAAAATAAGAAAAAAAATTGGAATCTAAATTCAGGAACTGAATTTTCTTTATTGTTTTTACATGAAGAAGTCAAAAGTTTTTGAATTTAAAATTATGAAACACTAAATGCAAGAAAAATAAATGAAAGACTCATACGCGTTCATTATGCACATATCTCAAATTAAAGTACACAAAGTCCTACAAGAAACTCTTAATACAACAAGTTGGCTTGTGTTTCATTTCGGGTGTGGAGGTCCATAAAACATTCATGGTAGTATTAAAGATTGGGCCCAATCATACCTTAATTCTGTATTAGGGATTTTAATGAGTCGTTTATCATTTACAGTCTGATCAGGGACGGTCACCCAGAATAATTGACCTGATAATTGGCTCGGCCGATCGGTTAGACTAATTGGACTGACGGCACACTCGGACGATCGGTTTGAAAGGAGAAATTTGTATAATGATATAATAATAGAGTCATATTAAGATTAAAAACTAGGTTTCTATAAAATATCATACTTCAACAATTTTATTAATATTTTTAACTTATCAAAAATGAAAATGAAAATAAAAGATTATAAAGAACCTGATTTATTACAAGACTGATCGGAATAAAACTAATAAAGATATACAATGAGATGCATACAAGTAGTGTGATTTGACAGAATAATTAAAATAAAATCCATTCAAAGTATTTTTAAAATTCATGGAATGAAAAATAGAGTCTAGTATGTTTTGAATTTGTTTCTCTTTTAAGTAGGAGTTCTCGTAGTGACTATTTAATTTTTTTTAATCATGTATGAGAATAAAGATGTATGCGTTCTGGTTTTATATTCGTCTCAATTCCATCTTGGTTTATATCTTCATTTGGTTTAAATTATTAAAAAATTCATAATTTATTAAGTAATATAAAAGAATATATATATATATATATATATATATATATATATATATATATAACATTTAACATTTAGTTTTGTATCTTTTTTATTGTACACTTTTTTTACATATTCTAATTATTTGATTTTATATAACAAAATCTATCCAATTACTATTTTCTATCACAATTTTATATTTTTGTTGTTAGGTTCAAATAAGGTATTATCAATTTAAACAAGATAATGTTTAAGTTTTATATTCAATTATTTCTATTATTTTTAGTATTTTTATTTATTATTTATTTTTCACATGACAATCTTTTACTCTCTCAATTTTAAATGTTTGATGGCATAAATTTTTTATTTATTAGGTAATATTAAAAATTATTTCTTTTATTCTTAATTTTTGTTTTATTTAAAGAATCTTTTGNTTTGTATTCAAATAAACAAAAAGGACGGGCGTAGTTTGTAACTTTAATTTTATACTGTAGGTAGAGGCTGTACAGGGAAATATGGTTTTGCTCTCGGGTGTGGATCTGGTTGATGGAACTGTAAGCCTCCATTTTCAGTCTTTGCTTTTTATGCAAACTTTAGTGAAATTCTGTGCCACTCGTGATATGGTATTTGGTTAACTGTGAATTTTATGCTTTTATGTAAATGCATAATCATGTTGCTTCCGAATCTCATCAACAGCCAGTGCTAGATCTCAAGCCTTACCTACCATATTGTGACAGCATCCGAGAAGCTACAGTGCCAAATTGGTTGACAGTAATGCCCCGTTTTCCTTTTAGCTATATCTTTCGCTGCTTATATTGGTTTATTTTTTCTAATTAATGTATAACATATTTTAACAATTTGATCTTTGAATTACTGTAAGTAACTTTAAACAATTGTTAGCTGGATATCAAATTTAATCTTCACACGTGTGAAAAATGATATATAATAAATCATCACTACCTTTTACTACGCAATGAGACTCTTGTACTCTTGTATTATTATTATTTGAAAGCTCAGCAGTGAAATTTACTAGAGCAATATTACATTTTCTCACATCTCTCTCTACAAAAGTTTAATGAATTACCTCTTCTTAAAAAAAAATTGTATTTCTTCAGGATGATAACTTGCTTTCTGTAGCTTCTATTAGCTTTTCGGAGGACTTCACTTCAGCTCTCGAAAATTGCTGGATAGTGGCGGTGAGTTGTTAACTGCTTAATGCATTATGTCCACTCTTTATATTTGTTTTTATTTAAGAAGAATAGATTCACTTTTCCAAATGATATTTTAGCAACTCTTATGAAATTACAACCTTGTTATAATAATAATAATGATATGAACATATAAGTTAATAAAGGAAAATTAGTAAAATATTATTTGTTGTTTTTATTCAACAATAACAAGAAAAACACACAAGAAAAATAATGAAAGAAAGTAATTGTATTATAACATAAGGTTCTATATAAAAGTATGTTCTCAATGCAACATATACCGCACAAACATAGAATTCTCTATTTATAGAACTAAGGAAACAGAATGACCAAAAACCACAGACAATTAAGACAAAACACCATCTAATTCATGTGGTAGATGGTACATGGTCTAACTAATATGAACACTATTAGACGCACTCTAGTAGACAATCTTTTGTACCATTCATGATTATCATACAAACTCTTTAAACTGCACTTATACAAACTCCAAACATTCTCAATTCTAAGCTCTATAAGTTTGGTTACATGCTAATTACCAATCATGGAGTGCCACTTCTTAAATCATTGAAAAGTTCTAGTCTTTCTTTTCAAGAAATAAATTTACACCCTCTGCGAGTAATCATCAATGGTAGTGAGGAAATAAGACCTACTGTGAGTTTGGGCTCTTGCTGGACCCCATAGGTTTACATGAGCATACTCAAACGGCTCAATTGGTCTACTGGATATATGTTTACTAGTCCCACACTTCAATCTGAGACTTTCAAAAGTATGCATTGATCACAAAACTCCAACTCTTTCATTCTATCGCCTCCTAGCTATTTGCCCAACTCCGTTAAACCTCTATCACTAATGTGCCCCAATCTTGCCACAGTTTTGTCTTATCTTGCATTGTCTGCCTAGCTACAAACACATGTGTTATCACTATTCTAGTATATAAAGACTATTCTTTTTTCACTTCCTTAGCAACTATAGAGGCGCCTTTTAAAATCTTTATATTACCTTGTTCAATCTTGGTTAACAAACCCATAAGGTCAAACATACTAATCAACAAAAGATTTCTCTTGAGCTCTTGAACACATCCTCACATCTTGCAATATCATTTATTGGTTGTCAATCATCTTCAATTTGATTGATTCCATGCCTTGCACCTTATAGGCTTCATTGTTCGCTAGAAGAACTACACCTCTTTCTTTCAGTTCTAAGGTCTCAAAGAACTCCTTCACTGAACATATGTGATAAGTGCAACCTGAGTTCATAATTCAACTTCTTTGTGTAATTGACACTAATGCCACTAACACTCTGGCATATTCTAGCTATTAGACACTACTACAACATTAAAATGTTCTCTTTTGTAATGACAGTTTCTGCCCTTCTCATTCTTTTCTTTCTTTGGACTGTCTGTCTTGTAGTGACATCTCTTGTGACAATTATAACACTCAGGCCTTTTATCTGCCCTATCATCGGATGAATGCTTTGATTTATTCCCTTTCACCTCCCTTGTTTTCTTTCTCTTTGACTTCAAGACATTCAAACTCTTCAAGACATTATAGTTTGCCTTATACTCTTGAAGTTTTTGTCTCCAGAGTGAAGTCTTATCATTGTCTTTGAGCTTCACTTCAATGTTATCCAGATAGTCAGAATCTTGTTAAAATCTTCTAGCCACTCCACCATCATTCTTGATTTAGTCATCTTGAATGAATACAATTGTTACTTCAGATAGAGTCTACGTACCAAAGAATTTGTCATATACAATGACTAAAGTTTCATACACATTGATGTAGCAACTCTCTCCTTCATGACTTCCTTGGATGTCTTATTCCCAAGACACAAAGTTATGGTGTTTTTGACTTTGTTGATTATGTCAATCTTCTCTTTTTGAGACAATGACAGTAACATGTTCACCTCACCTTTATCTCATCAACAATTTATTGTTGTATCAAAATAACTTCCATCTTAATCCTCCATAATCTGAAATCATTGTAAAAAAAAAAAACTTGTAAATAGCAAAGTTGGTGACCATGTCTTCAAATCTTGCACTTCTTGATTTTGTACCTCTTGTTCCTCACAGACGGTGTGGATTGTTGGGTTCATTCAAGAATAATAAGAAAAAACACAAGAACAAGAAATAAAACAATTGTATTATAACAGAAGGTTTTATACACAAAGTATGTTCTCACTATAACATATATTGCATATATATAATGTTCTCTATATAGGACTAAGAAAACGAAATCACAGAAAACTGCAAAGATAGTCAATACAAAATGCCATCTAATACAGGTGGTGGATAGTCTAATTAATCTTAAAACTACCGGACATTCTTTAGTAGACAAATCTTTTGTATTCTTCACCAGACGATCATGATTTAGAGCTAATACATCACATTATTATATATACGTCACATTTGCAATTGTTTGATAGAGTTTGCCAATATATATCACTATTCTTCACGTAAAATACGTTTGTTAGATCTCAATGCAAAACCAAACATATTGAATAGAAATGGTAAATTAAGTGGCTCAATTGGAAAAAAAGAAAATCAGGTGCTGAACCTCAAGTGACCTTGCTTGATATTGTAATGACAAAACTTAGCAAAGGCTTAATTAATTATTTATTTGAAATTATTTTTGTTAGCCATAATGGATGCACCCAATCAGTATGTAATTCAACCTTTCATGTTTTCAACTTTCTTCAGGGGTACATATTTTAAATTAAAGGGAAATGACTCTGATTACCACAATCATGTCTTGGATTTTGATTATTCTCACTATTTTATTTTTAACATTGTATTTAATTATTTAGCATCGGTTTTACTTGCTAATATTCCCGTTTTATAGATTATTTTAGCTTCTTATAAAGTGTTTTTAGCATTTTTTTGACATTTGGTTCAAAATTATCTACAACCATTTTTTAGTATTTGTTTTTACTTAGCTTATATTGCAAAATGAGGATGACCATGGTGGTGCAGCAGTAAGGCCGCTACTACCTTGTCACTTAGAATTCACGGGTTCAGACCCAGGAACAAGCTCTCTCCATTTGCGTCCTTTCCAAACCCACTTGTTGGTATTAGGGAGTCTCATGCATTGTGTCACATTTTTCACCTTAAATTATAAAACGTCGGAGAGAAAGTCCCCGGACCCTTGTTTGAATAGCTGGTCAATCGCAGTAAAGCCCCTTAATTAAAGGAGAGAAAGACCTAAAACAACTTGAAGTGAAATTATAAAAAAATATTCAGATTTTGCCTCCCTGAAGTTTTGGTTAATGCTTTATGTTGTTATTGCTTAAGTCACATTTTTAATCTTGCTCTTGCTCCGATGTAATTCATACGGGTTTATGATTCAGGAAAAGAAGTCATTGTATGCATCACCAGGTGAGTTCCAAAGCTTGATAAAGCAGGTTCTTTCATGGGATATTCGGTCATTGAGTCAACGCAATCGGCCACATGATGCATTACTTAAGAATGAAAACGATGAACTATTGGGTAATGCTTCTGATGTAGATGACCACGAAAATGAAACATTAGTCCATGAAAGAGAGCAGAATGCTATAGATTCCAGTGAAATCATTTATCACCTGATTTTGGAGGGACTTGATGTCTCTTACAGAATTGATCATGTCGGTAATGTCATAGTAGATAATGTATCACCTGCTGTGCAGGATAATAAGCGTAGTTTCTTTAATTACTTGACATGGAAAGACAAGATGCAATGATTTATTTTATTCTACCCGATTACTTGTTAAGCTATTTTAATTAATATTTTTCTTTTTCAAAAAAATGTTTTTGCCCTTTTGTTACTAGTAATGTAAGCTTTGAAGGTGTTTGGTTTCGTTTATGTTCATTTTTAAATCATGTTTTTGTTACAATTTCGCTAATACCATCTTGTAGTATTTTCAAAATTTTGTGAAGAAATAAGGAACATCCCACAAGTTATTCTTGTTGCTACCATCTTATGTTTTTTTAAGAAGCAATGACTTTTTTAGAAAAGTTTTGTATACAAAACACTACTTTGTTGCCTATTTTGTAACAAGTAAAGAAAGATCTTATTAGAATCTTTAAAGCATAATGTTACAATTCTAATTTTGAAAGTAGCAGTAAAAGAATATTGAGTATGAAAGTTAATTTCAGCATATTTATCTATTTAAATAAATTACTTCTCTTGTCAAATTACAGATTATCTTATTTTACACAATCCCTTAAAAAAAATGTCAAACCAACCAACTCTCTTATTACCGATGAAATCCGCTAACAGGTTAGCTTCGGAGTTTATATTTTGAAAAATAAGAAAAAAAATTGGAATCTAAATTCAGGAACTGAATTTTCTTTATTGTTTTTACATGAAGAAGTCAAAAGTTTTTGAATTTAAAATTATGAAACACTAAATGCAAGAAAAATAAATGAAAGACTCATACGCGTTCATTATGCACATATCTCAAATTAAAGTACACAAAGTCCTACAAGAAACTCTTAATACAACAAGTTGGCTTGTGTTTCATTTCGGGTGTGGAGGTCCATAAAACATTCATGGTAGTATTAAAGATTGGGCCCAATCATACCTTAATTCTGTATTAGGGATTTTAATGAGTCGTTTATCATTTACAGTCTGATCAGGGACGGTCACCCAGAATAATTGACCTGATAATTGGCTCGGCCGATCGGTTAGACTAATTGGACTGACGGCACACTCGGACGATCGGTTTGAAAGGAGAAATTTGTATAATGATATAATAATAGAGTCATATTAAGATTAAAAACTAGGTTTCTATAAAATATCATACTTCAACAATTTTATTAATATTTTTAACTTATCAAAAATGAAAATGAAAATAAAAGATTATAAAGAACCTGATTTATTACAAGACTGATCGGAATAAAACTAATAAAGATATACAATGAGATGCATACAAGTAGTGTGATTTGACAGAATAATTAAAATAAAATCCATTCAAAGTATTTTTAAAATTCATGGAATGAAAAATAGAGTCTAGTATGTTTTGAATTTGTTTCTCTTTTAAGTAGGAGTTCTCGTAGTGACTATTTAATTTTTTTTAATCATGTATGAGAATAAAGATGTATGCGTTCTGGTTTTATATTCGTCTCAATTCCATCTTGGTTTATATCTTCATTTGGTTTAAATTATTAAAAAATTCATAATTTATTAAGTAATATAAAAGAATATATATATATATATATATATATATATATATATATATATAACATTTAACATTTAGTTTTGTATCTTTTTTATTGTACACTTTTTTTACATATTCTAATTATTTGATTTTATATAACAAAATCTATCCAATTACTATTTTCTATCACAATTTTATATTTTTGTTGTTAGGTTCAAATAAGGTATTATCAATTTAAACAAGATAATGTTTAAGTTTTATATTCAATTATTTCTATTATTTTTAGTATTTTTATTTATTATTTATTTTTCACATGACAATCTTTTACTCTCTCAATTTTAAATGTTTGATGGCATAAATTTTTTATTTATTAGGTAATATTAAAAATTATTTCTTTTATTCTTAATTTTTGTTTTATTTAAAGAATCTTTTGTTTGGTTTAAATAATTTTCATTATCTCTCCATAATTCAACTAATTTAATATTTAAAAAGTTTTTTCAAATGTCCAAGATTCTTTCTGTCTTGTCATATATTTAGTTATATTTTTTTTTTCATTTATACAATTTGTTCAATGGTATATCTAATTTTTCTTATGATACATTTGATCACTTTTATTTTTTGAATATTTTTATTTTTTTTGTCATATAAAATATTGATTTAATAATTTTTATATAATTATTTTTATTTTCTAACTCATTCTCATAAATTTACCAACAATTGTATACAAATATTTCATTTACTGTAATATTTTAACATATTGTTTTGGTTTGGTTTTATTTATTTGCAATTGCATTATATTTTATTCAATCATTAACTTTTATCTAACTATTTTTAATATTTTAATTTAAAATTTATACAGTTATAATTTATTTTTAAATATTTGATAAATTTGTATTTTTTTTTTATATTTTTATAAAAATTAATTAATTAATATTAAAAAAATGTAAGCACCAGATACTGATATATGAGTTACTTAACTGATATGAGGATGAAACAACAATTATATATCCATACAAGAGTAAATATGAATTTTTACCACGAAATAAATGAAATAATGAACTCATTATCCATTGTCATCCTGCACCAAAATAATACTTTCACTCAAACAACTATCACTAAAGTTGTTTTAATAAGGAGATAAAGACAACCATTTTTAACAATTTTCAACTATTCCTATTTTAAAAATTACACTAAAATAATGCTTTTACTCATAAACTGCCACTATAAATGTTTTAACAAAGAGAGAAAGACGAAGTTTGAAAAAAAATTACAAAATTCACTCCAAATTCACTCACCTTGAATATTTAAAATTAATATTGATAAATGATGAACTTGTTTCTTATTTAACATTTAAAATTATTTTTATATTATATTGTGTCACACTATTATACTGTTTTTAGTATTATAGTTTAAGATATTCCAGTCATTATACGAGTTAACTTTAATTTGTTAAACTTTTTTCATCAAAATTCCACTTTTGACCCAAATAATAATGAAAAAGAAAACATAGTCCGTTTTTAGTGGCGACAGGTAGTTGTTGATTATGAAAGGACATCAATTAAGAATGATAAAGAAATATCTAAAAGGATTGTCAATTATCGGGATGAGTTTTAAAAAATATCCTTTTGTCAGTCAATTAATTTGTTTGATCTTCTAGGTCTAACACCAAAGATTGAATAGTACAACAAAAATTTCAATATGAACGTCTATAGTTGTTAAGGGAACCAAAAGAAAGAATTAATAAATATGTATGCGTATTTTGTTTGGTCATGCAAGGTAAAGTTGTATAATATAAGATTAGGACATTTGAGTGGGAGAGATTTGATGAATATGGAGAAACAAGTGTGAATTTGATTATATCCATCCTTACTCATGGAGTAAAATCCATACTCATCCCAAATGCCTATCCAAATATTTATTAAGTAATTTTTTTATTAAAAATAAAAATTAAAACAAAGAAAACATAATATTATCAATAATTTAATGTCAAAAGAATATACGAGTTTTTGTCCTCGATCCTAATCAATAATGAAAAAATATAATTTCATGAACCGACGTTGAATTTTAAAATTTTCACATAGATTTGGAAGGGACCATTTACGTGAACTGACCTGAAGGATTAGTTAAAAATTAAGAAAAAATATATCTCTTGATGAAATCATCGTATGACTTAAAATAATTTCATGTCAATGGTACAATAATTTTGACAATTTCTTTAGGGAATTTAGTTTTTTAGGTGCAATTATGATAGTTGCATCTACATTCTAAAAAAGAAAATAAACATGTTTGTTGTTCTTAATCTTTGCACATAGATAAAAAAATTTAACCGACTAATACAAAGATGAAATTAAAAGTTCAAAAGAAAAATTACGCTAGAAAATTGATATGAAAGACCTTGACTTTGTAAAACGAATATTTGAGATATATACAAAGAAATTAAATGATAAGTAAATTTTGTCTTACTCAACAAGATTATTTTAAGGTGGGTGAAAAGTTTAGGATACATCAATTAATATTAGTGACTACACCTTCGTGTCATCACATGAAATCATCTATTATATAAAATCCTAGTTCTTAAAAAGAAAAGAGGGAGATGAATATTCTTTTATATCTTATTAAGGAACATCATATATGAGATAATATGTTAGAATCAAATTTACCTTATGTTTTAGTGTAGTTGATATATTTATGGTAGATGTTGCAAGTGTTCAATCAAATTTTTTTGAAGTGAGTGTTAATATATTTGAATGGAATAATAATATCTTTTAATCTAGTGTATAAATGTTCTATTTATGGTAGATATGTTATTAATGGATTTTTTGATACAAACATGTAAGGAATGTAGATACAAGAAAGTTTTTTTTCGGATGTGTTTACATGGTTTGAGACTAAATTTTGTTGGAAGGAAAAACTGTGATCTATATGATGAATTTATCTAATACCAAGTATATCATACTCATAAAAGAAGCTTTATAATAGAAGAGGATGATAGGAAAGTTAAGTATTGTACAAGATTATGTGACTATTCACTTTAATAACTAATATTGAGATAATCAAATTTATCTTGAGCAAACAATTTATGTAAGATTGCTAATAAAAAAAATTGCTATTAAAAAATATTGATGTAAGGCTGTTAATGAAAAAATTGATGTAAGACTATTTTTAATTAAATATTAATTTAGGGAGGTAAATATTGTAATGCTAACTTTATGGAATAAATATGTTTATAAAGTCTTTAGTATAATCCGAATTCAAACATTGTTTGGAATTGATTAATTTTGTTGAGAATGAAAAACAATGATGGTTGAAAATTATTCTATGATTTTAAATCAAGATAGAAAACAATGAAGATGATTATGAATTGGAATATAGAAAGAATTCAGGAAAAAAAAAACAAAAGATGAAATTATAATCTGCTATATTATCCATTATGTTAATAATGTACGTCTTAACAATTTTATGTTCATAAACCAATAAGGTTTATAAACCAATAAGGTTTAGACTAAACATCAAACAAAGTAATAAACGAAGAACATACTAGTCTTGTTGAGAAGTATCAAGCAAAATTGAGAAGTACTAATATTGTAAGGAAGTACTAGTGTTCTTGGAAAATATCATGGAAGGTTGAGAAATACTAACATTGCCTCGAAGTATAATATGTAAGACTTAAAAGTACTAGACTAGTTTTACGAAGAAG